CATGTAATTAATACACATAAAACATCATTTTCAAATAAATTAACACATATATGAATATATATATATATATATAAGAACAATAATAACAATTAATATTACCAAAATTCGGGGCGTTACACCTTATATCTCTCAATGTTGCCTTTTGAGTCACATTTGGTCTTAAAGACCCACTTGCAACTGACTCGTTTTGAACCTTCAGGCACCTCGACTAAATCTCATACCTTATTGTCACTCATTAATTTTAACTCTTCTTTCGTGACATTCAACCACTTTTCAGAATTGTAACATTCCAAAGCTTGCTTAAATGAGATTGGATCACCATCAATACTCACGTTACATTCATGCTCAAGTGAGTAAACCACATAGTCATTCAAAATAGCAGGTCTTTTATGCCTTACAGACCTCCTTAAAGTTATCTCTTGTGGTTCACCTTCCTCTTGCTCACTTGTGACTTGCGCATTTTCAGCTGGTTCGTCCTCTATATGTTGTTCTTGTGGGTTTGGAACATTAACTTGTTGTCTCCTTATATTGTGTGACCGTGATACAACAAGAGGAACAACAACTGGAGAAGATACACCAACTACAGGAGTTTCCGCACGTGTCTCTTTAATTTCCACCTTTCGTATTTCACCACTCCCACTAAACTGACCATTTTCAATGAATCTTGCATTTTCAGACTCAACTATTCTCATACTATGGTTAGGACAGTAGAATCTGTACCCCTTTGATTTTTCAGGATAGCCGATGAAATAACCACCTATGGTTCTAGCATCAAGCTTCTTTTCATGTGGATTATACACTCTTACTTTTGCTGGACAACCCCAGACATGAAGATGTCTTAAACTGGGTTTCTTTCCTATCCACAGTTTATAAGGAGTCTTTAGAACTGCCTTACTAGGAACTCTATTAAGCAGATACGCAGCGGTCTTTAATGCGTACATCTACAAAGACATAGATACAGAACTATAACTCAACATACTCTTAACCATTTCCATGATAGTACGATTCTGCCTTTCAGCTACACCATTTTGTTGTGGTGTATCAGGCATAGTATATTGTGCACATATTCCTCGACTTTCCAGAAGTTTTGCAAATGGACCTGGACATTGTCCACTTTCATCAGATTTTTCATAATATTCATCACCTCTATCTGACCTCACAACCTTTACCTTTCTATCTAGTTGCCTTTCCACCTCATCAATGAACACCTGTAAGAAATCCACTGATTGAGATTTTTCATGCAACATATACAGATAACAATAACGTGAGTAGTCATCAATAAAAGTAATGAAATATCTTTTCACCACCTCAAGATTGAATGTCAAACAGACCACAAATATCAATGTGTATCAACTCTAAGAATTGACCGCTTCTTGTGGCTAGATTCTTTGATGTGTGTTTAGTTTGTTTTCCTTTAATACAATCCACACATATATCCCAGTCAACAAAATTCAATTGAGGTAAAATTTCACTTTTCATTAACCTCATCATCATTTCTTTGGATATGTGACCTAACCTTTGATGCCACAAGAAAGTAGAGCATTCATTATGAACATTCAAATTACTACTAATAGCATTCTCAACATGAAACATAGATTCAACAAATTTAACATTAAGATTGAAACGATATAAGTCATCAATTAATGTACCAGATCCAAAATAGTACGAGTGTTTATACAAAGAAAAGGTATCATTTCCAATCTTAAAATTAAAACCAAATTCGTCTAACTTTGCAACAGAAACAAAATTTCTAGCACATTCAGGAACATAAAGACACTTTTCTAGATATATGCAGCAACCAATATGCAACATCAATCTGTAAGTCTCTATTCCTTCTATTTGTACCTTCATTTTGTTTCCCATGTACAAGAACTTTTCAGTTCCACTTATGGGCTGGATCAAAAGAAATCCCTGCATTACATGTGACACGTGAGTAGTTGCACCAGAATCTAACCGTCAGGTATTTTTAGGTACCTCAATAAGATTTTATGCAAAGCATACTGAAACATAATATATATCTTTCCTTTCGAATCAAACCTTTCTCTTCGGACAATCCTTTTTGAAGTGACCAGTCTTCTTGCAGAAGAAGCACCTCTGGCCCTTCTGGATTTGGCCTTCACGAACCTTTAATAAGGCCTTATCCTTCTTGTCCTTCTTACCTAACTTAGTCTTGTTACTACTATCCCCTTCATGAAATGTGAGATGGATGAAGTGTTCTTTCACCTTCTTCAGCCTCTCTTCCTCCTGAACCAGCATGGCCTTAATTTTCTGTATGTTCCATTTATCCTTAATGGTGTTGTAATTCACCTGGAACTGACCAAACTCAGGAGGATGTAAGTTCAAAATGAACTGTACTAGAAAGAATTCTTTTACCTCCATGCCCATTGATTTCAACTTTATCGCTTGATTAATCATGTCAGTCACATGGTCATGAATGAGCTGTGACCAATCAAACTTTTTAGTACTCAGCTCAGTCAACAAGGTTCCTGTAATGGACTTGTCAGTAATGTCCGATTGTGCATACTTTTTTACCTTTACCATAAATTCCCTAGCATTTTCAGTCTTTGGCATTGATGGCTTCACATTTTCAGCCATAGTCATCAGCCTATTGGACCTTTCCCAAACCTCACGAAAAGTCCTTTCCTCTTCAGTACTGATCTCTGTGATGGCTGCAGGCTCTTGTTCCATAATGATTGCTAGGTATAAGTCCATAACACCTAGCTGAAATCGAATTTGTTCAGCCCAATCATCATAATTAAGCCCATTGAACTTGACTACGTCATTGCTCATGCTATACGTATTTATAGAGATTGAAATATTTAACATATGCTTAAACATTTATGCTTTGAATAAACTTAATGGATTCAAACAGTCAACTGTCATCAATTATCCATCTAAGTTTACCTTTGGGTAACGCCTAAATACACAATTTATCTATAATGATGTTAATAAACAACTTTAATTGTCAATCAGTCACTCAAACCAATATGCAAGTCATCTTTGGATATACAAACATATTATGAAGTGCTTACATGTCTCCTTAATATCATTAATCATATGCAATGATCCACCTTTAGGCGATCTCTTAGCGTTATAATTAATGAGCTAAATTGTTCACCCTTTATGTTACCATATAGCATCAAACAATTTTGAACAATTTATAACACACAAGCAAGTGCTTTCAGAACTTTTAAAGCCAGGCCACTTTGGTGACTAACAAGCTACCCTTAAAATTAAGCACTAAATTGTGAAGTTCTCATTATGATAATGTAATTTAGAATTAATTAACTTGAGAATTTAATCACTTTGGTGAGTAAAATTCACTTTGATGTAATTCTAAAATTATCCATACATTTTATGAATCATTTTCCTTATTCTGTCATAAAATTACTATGCACAGTCGTGCTTTTACTTAATGCATGGTCGTGCTTCGATGAAGTAAGGCCATGCTCATTTCTGATGCATGCCCCTGCTTCCTGAAGCGTGGCTGTGCTTATAATTGATGCATGGTCATGCTTATAATATGCTAGGTCGTGCTTCCATTATGCAAGGTCGTGCTTGTTCCTGATGCGTGGCCCTGCTCATCGATACATGGCCCTGCTTAATTACATATTCAAAATCCAATTTTTCTAGCTTCCAAAACCTTAGGGTTTTCCATTATTGAATCCATAACAAGTATTCAACATCAAAATAATGCCAATCTATCATATAAAATACCTAGGGTTCATGTAATTTGGGGAAAACTTTAATGGAGAACCAATCTCTTATGGAGAATTAACGAAATTTACAACCTAACTCTGATACCAACTGTTAGAATTTGCTTTAATCCATTATGTAATTTCTATTATGCAATGACTATTATGAAATTACCTTTTTTTCTTAGAGATTTTAAATTACGTTACTCTTACAACACAATATATGGTTCTCATACAATTAAGAGTTTAGAGAGCACTAACCTGAATCCATTGTTCCTTGATGTTACCTCTCTCTTTGATGTCGTTGATCCCTTAGTATTTTTCCTAACTCTTCCTTCCTCTTTCAGCTCCTCTCGGATGGTTGAGAGAAAGTTTCTTTTTTGCGTTTATCGTGAGCTCACTCAGAGACTGTGAAAGTGAACAAATAGAGAATGTCGTAATCCCTATTTGGTAACCGCTCTTTAATTTATATTAAGGGAGAGGGGAGGGTTTCATAGGCTACTATAATAAGATTATTAAAATAATCTAACACAACCCACCTCCAACCTCAACTCTCGTCCCTTCCTCCAACCCCAATTTTCATTTTCACCCCTTCTTCCAACCCCTCCCCCACCCCCCACTTCCTCCCTTTTTGGCACCCCTTCTCTTTTCCAAATTCTTACTTCTGTTATTTTTTCTCATTCTCACCGTTCTTCTACCTCTACCCACTCCCCCCTCTCTCACCCTTTTCTGGCACCCCTTCTCCACATTCCTACCCTTCTCCTTCTCTGTTGAAACCCAGATTCCTAAAAGAAATAGAAAAAATAATAATTTCTTCATGTTACCAATCTTCCTTTATTAAAACCTTGGGCTTTATTTGTATTCTCACCATTACGTGCTTTTCATTCCTCTAATGTTTGTTTCAATTTGGAGGATTTGTTAAGAGCTTTGGTAGAGGTGTTGGGGAAGGGTAGCGTTGGGACTTCGTACAATGCGGTGTTGGAAGAAGGGACTCAGTGCTTGATACGTATTGAGGTGATGTTGGGTTTGGAGTTGTAGGGTGATGGAAATGGGAAGAAAGGACTCAAAATCGGGCTTGCTATCGAGAATCCTACTAAAAATGATGTTGATGAAGCAATGGGAAAACTGTTAGCATTGGATAGGGCTTACCCTCTTCCTTTATTGGGCTCAATGATAGAAAAATTTCCTCAAACTGTGGAGCCAACAGTCTAGTGGCCTAAGTAGAAGCAAAAGTGTCTAAGAAAATAAGAGTTAGGTGGGAAACTAAAAGGGAAGAATGGATGGGATGCAAGGTTGGAAGAAGAAATGAAAAAGATTGTGATGGTTTTGAAAAAGAAGGACATGAAAGACTACTTGAGGTTGAGTACAAAAGTTTTGAACTTAAACAAAGTATTGGCAATTTTTGGTCCATTACTCACTAGCCTTGCAGCTTTAGGTTCTGGTTTTTTGGATTCTGTGAATGCATCTTGGCCTGTGATGCTTGGGGTTATTAGTGGAGCTTTGGCAAGTGTTGTTAACACATTACAGCATGGTGGGCAAGTAGGGATGGTGTTTGAGTTGTATAAAGCAACCCTTGGCTTCTTTAAGCTCATGGAAGAGAGTATAAAGCTAAATATTTATGAACAAGATCATGGTAAAAGAGAAAATGGAGAGTTGTTTGAAATCAAAGTTGCTTTACAGTTAGGTAGAAGTCTCTCAAAACTTAGGCAATTAGCTACTTTATTTTCATCCTCGAGTGAAGATAATGATTGTGAAGAGTTTGCAAGCAAGCTTTTCTAGTATTATTACCATGTGTAGTATAACTAATAAGTTTTTTGTAAATATTCTTAGATAAAGAGAATAATTGTGAATAGTTTGCTATCGAGCTTATAGTATAATTACTATTTGACCTAATTATTAATTTTTTTTTAGTAAATAAGATTTCTAGAGTTTAACTTTATTGATACTATTCATCAACCAGTTGTTAACTTGGATCCACAGCTACTAAGTTTTTGGGTTAGCCACCTACATTGCCTCAAGAGTGTGCAAAATAAAAATTAATTAAAACCAACAAAACTCACGTGATTGAGAGCTATTTGCATTATGTATTATTTTGAATATATTTCTTTTTATTTGTTATATCTTTGCCAATCTACCCAATAAACATCAAGATAAGAAAATTTTGTATATAAACGTTGAACTTCACATTCGAACAGCGTAGAAATTTCCACGTTTAGATAATCTTACTCTTTTTTCAAATTGTTGATGTTGTTATATTACAATGCGAATATAATAATAAAAAATAAATAAATAAAAATAGTTAAGCTTGTTCATGTGGAGTGATTTTTAGAAGCTCTCCAAGTGATCAACAACATCTGTCTTTTGATCAGAGATGAATGTGGTACATACAAAAACTAGAGAATAAGAATTGATAAAATTAATTGCTCACAGAGTAGGGACATAGTAAAACACTATGGAATGGGTACAAGGTAGAACTTGAGTGGTTAGAACAAAGAATACCCATGTCTTGCATGAGTATAATAATCTTTATTTAACCAAAAATATTTTTTTACTTTTCTTTATATGTTTACCAATTTACAAGGAAAAGAAAATGAATGGTTTGTTATATTAAAATGATTGACAAACTAAAGAATGGAGGAGAGGTTGGAAGGGGTGAGAATGGAGGTTGGAGTTGGGGTGAGGAAGGTGGAGGTTTGGAATGGAGATGGGGGTGGGGTTGGAGGAAGGGATGCAAGTGGAAGTTAGGGTGAATTAGAAGTGGAGTTGCCGGTATTGAGGGAGAGAAGTTTGGAGAGAAAGAAGAAACTTTTTTTACAAATATATAAAACATGTTTATGGATCTTTTTGTAAATATTTATTTTAATTAATAAAAAATTTATATGACATAATATATAACGTAGCGTTACGTAGAGTGTTGAGCTGACTTTACGTTAGTCAATTCAGCACTTAAAAGAGGAAGAATTAACAGTAAGGACCAATTCTTAAATTACCAACTTTAGAAGGATTACTTCTTAATAAAAATATTTGTAGGAATTAATCACAAAAAGACCTATATTTATAGGGAACAAAAACATAATTAAACTTTATTATTACTTATAATATATATTAAAAATGAAATTATGACAAATATTTATTATTTACATGTTTATTAAAAAAAATTAAAATAACTTCATATAAATATAGTCTCATCTTACTTTATACTTTAAAAAAAAGATTTTTTTTTAATCATTCTTATTTATGATCCTTTTAATTTATTTATTTTATTATAAAGTAATTTTGTATTAACTTATATATTATAGCTTAAAAATTGAAACTAAATTTATTATTATATCTTTTTTAAACTGATAATATTTTTAAATAATTAATAAAAAAATTACTATCACCTGCGAACACGGTAGAGTAGTAGTTTTTCTTTAAAAAGTATGTATTTTCTGTTCCACCTTTCACCTGATCTGGATTTTACGTGCCTCTAATTATCCAAATAAACTGAATATTCAACTATCAACATAAAATATGCACATTTTACGAGGATTGTGTCTTTTACGTACGTAGCATTCGATTTTGAGTAGTATACAAATCCAATCACACCCTGGTGTAACTGTGTGGCCTATGCTATTACCAAATGACCCGTGCTGGTTCGGCTACGACCGCAAAGACATTAAGACAGGGACTGTAATAACTGTTTCTGACATAGACATAAATTACATTTTATATTTATGTAATACATTATATAACGCGACCTAAAATTTCTTAAGTAAATTGCGTTGAACTCAATAATTTAAATTTAATTAAAACTATTGTCAGAAAGATAAGTCTTAAATAAAATTCTTACTATACTTCAATACGTCAAAGAAATTCATATTATATTATTCGACTCTCTTATTTTAAAAAGATCGAGTTTAATTATTTCAAATTTTCGCTATGATTCCTTATTCCTTTATGTGCATACAATTTATTTTCAGCTAATAAATATATTTGTGATTTTTCACAAATACGTTTAAGAATTCAATGAAAGGCTACGTTAATAAAGAGCGAAGAATTAACGTATATATATATATATATATAGTTAGCGCAAAGCCTTGAAATTTTCTTTACCAAGAAAGAAACCTTAAAATTTTAAACTAACATATGAAGATAAATTATTGTTTTTTATATTATATATTAAACGAGTTTTCTTAAAAAAAAATTTAAAATTTTTATTTTATTTTTATCATGTGATTTTCTTTTATATTTAAGTATTTTTTTGTTATCTTTGATATTTTAAAATACTATTTATTTATTTAACTTTTGAAACACTGTATCAAATTAAAAAAAATATTTTTTATAAATAAACTAAGATTTAATATTATTATAATTGTTATTTAAAAGTATTTTAAACTGTAAATTTTGACCCATCATATTAATAAATATAGAAAATTGGATGTTTGTTGAAATCCATTATTTTTAATATGCCTGTAAAAGGCGTATTGGGATAGTTAATAGAAGTTTCATTATAGAAAAAAACACAGTGACCGCAATAATAAAAAATTAGCAATGTTAAAATATACAATTAGTTTTATTCCCCTACCTATAGCAATTCCTGTGTGAGGATAGGAGTTGGTGAACAATTGACTCGAAACTTGGAAGTTTGCGAGGCCAAGGGATATCTCTGGGCTTAATACGTAATAGTCTTCTAGAAGAAGCCCACTTATTCTTGAATACTACCATCTCTCTTTCTATTTTCTTTTTCTGAAGCAAGTGGGATGAAGTTAAGACATGCGGGTTTTTTCCCCCTCACAGTGACTTTAGAATTAATTAATTACAATTTAAAATTTTGTACAAGACATATTGTAATTGTTAATTTAGAAGTATGAATAAAGTAAACAATAATCGTTATCCGATCTTTAGATGCATTGTCAATTAGTTCAAATGGTACATTTTTTTTTTAAAATAAAGTCTTGAATTCAAACTTCATCTATGATTTATTTTATTGAGGTTTAGTTTTATTATACTATAGATGTTTTTAATTTGAGTATAACTCTTTTCTTAGAAAAATATCTATGACCTAAAGAGGAAAATATATCAGCATAAAAAGGAAGCTTCTATAACTAATTGTAGGTCTATGCTCTTGTTTTGTGGACAGGCTACTCCTTTGAGTTGAAATCACCTTTGAAGTTTTCCCCAGCTGGCAGCACGAATTAATTGTTGAATTGAAATTCTTAGAAAGCTCGTGGAAGCGGAAAAAGGAGATAATTTCGAATGCTGAAAAGAAATTGTCACGAACGCGACTTTTCCAACTTATTTTTTATTTATTTAAATTATATACATTTTTTCATATTACCCTTTTAATTTTGAAAAATATCTTATTTTTCTAATATGAGTCACTATTACTTTCGATACACCACAAAGTCATTGCGTTCACTAACACACGAAACACGTACTGCTGCAAGGTGCTTAATTCCCCCCTATTCTCCATTGCTCGAGTGCGTGCGTGAAAAGGTTTTCTGTTTTGTTTTAATTCTACGGTCATAGCATAGCCATTCGTATTTTTAAAATTTGAAAACTGACAAAACATGCAGAGTATGTTGACAATTCAAAAGTTATATACCGAATTTATCTCAATTTTACTCACTAACAGAATAAAGAAAGAATACTATAATGTTTCTGTTTTTTACCTCTCATGTATATTCTGTTTTCTTATTTGACATGTTTCGTCATACAATTTACTCGTATATGGTAAGTTGACTACTCTGTGGTTTATAAGTGCTTCTACAAACCGAAGCCAAATTTTGTAGAATCATTCTTGAATATTAATGTTGCTTTAGTATGTGTTATTAACGCTTAATCAGTTCATTCTATGGATTAACCATAGGCCAAAAAGTAAATTATATATTGAAAAACTGTAATAATTGTTTCTTTATAAACTAGTTATCCTGTTTAGAAGTCAAGAACTTGATGCATTTTTGGTCCCCCTGTTTCTGTTAACTGATGTTGATGCTATCATCGCTATATTATGGTTACATTATATTCAAGGAAAAATCTTATTTAGGTCTATGATTTGAATGCAACATGCTAACAAAGTGATCTCAGCCCATTCCATCACTTAACGGTTATAAAGGGCTCAGCGAAATGCCGGATTCACAAATGCACCTTTGACACGTAACCACTATAACATGGCGTCGCATCAAAACCGTGTTCACAGATTCTCTTCTACGTAGTAGTTTACTTGTTTGTTTTCTATGTGTGATATATCTCAGGGAAAAAATGTGAATCGAAATTCAGGAGGTTGGTGAACTTCATGAGGTCACGGTGTTTGCTCTCCCAACCAAGCATTGGATCATCCCATATATATTCTGGATTCCCCAAAAGAAAAACCAATCGACAAGTTTGCAAGAAAGTCATTTTGATTTCTTTCTATTTACATGAATATAAGCCACACTAATTACAGTGGAAAAGTCATTAGTTTATTTAAGCAAAATATTAACTTTAATTTTAAAGATGAGTATAAGTGCTTAAAAATAATATCACACTTTAATAATTTTAAAATATTTTTAATAAAATAGTATTATTTTAGATGCTTAAAGTCAAACTCAACTTTAAAAATAATAATTAACAAAACCCTTGATTTAACTAGGCGAATGAAACTAATCCGGTGAAGGAAAGCTCGAGTATGGCGTTAAACAACTGCAAGCGAGGTGGACTTTTTTGTTTTATTGTTGTATTTTATAGTGAAGCGGTTGGTGAAGGATATTTGTCATATGAGTTCATTTTTCTTTTACTCTTTTTCTTCTTGTCCTTAA